TTTAAAGAAAAGGTAAAAGCAGTTTGCAGACACAATTTCCGCAAATAAAGATGCGATCAAGACAATTTAAACATTTATCCATTCCAGAGCAAAAGCACCAGATTATATATTCCAATTAAATAATTTGGAAAATTATATAGAAAAAGAACCACATGTAAACAGAAAATCAATACATATAATCGAATATTTCAAATAAATATTATGTATGTATATTCAAATCATTAATACTTTGGAAATTTAAAGTAGAGTTAAAAAAGATAGGTTAGATTAAATATTATACAAATAGAGTAGAGTAAATATTTGGTAGAAAAACCAAAAAAAGTGTTTTCTCTATAACTTGAATTTTTGGAGTTAGGGGAATTTAACTGTAATTGGAAATAAAAATCAGGATTAAGCTAATATCGTATAGAAAATCACAATGCTGACTGATAAAAGTTTTGAACTCAGAACTTAATCATATAGAAAAGATAACAATGAAAAAAGTGCTTTAAGAAAACACTCAATACATTTTACAAGCAATAAACTATCAAGTCACATATAAAAATAAACTTCCTTAATATATGAACAGTGTTTTCCACACCTTATTTTTTTAATATATGAAAATATCTATAAACATTTGCACTGTCATTGCTGCCGTTGTTGCAGATTTATTTTTATTTTATATTCTACATTTCATATTGAAAATAATATAGTATTCAGTATATCAATCTCTATTATTCACGTCGAAAATATGAAACTTTAATTCTTTTCAGATTTTTTTAAAATAATTGATTGGACTTCAGAGTCCGTAGATTATGAACCATCCTAATCCACCGAATATTACGATGACTATATTTCCATAGATCTATAAGTCCATAGAATGTGATTTCTATGGGTTTTGTTTCAGATTCCGTTATGTTTTGATTTATCATTTATTTTATATCATTTATTTATTTATCATTTTGATTTCTTAAAGAGTTGCTATGTGGTTGTTATTGATATGTGGGCTCAACTAATCAAGCAACGTTTTTTTAATAGTAAAAAAAATGTTTCAAATTAATTAATAACTATAATTATTATAATTATAATAATTATTATGTATTATAATTATAATATAATTATTATAACTAATAAATAATATATTTTTATTTGTAATTTATTATTATTTTTGAATTTTATATAATTATTTCATTTGTTTTAATATGTAACTTATAACAATTATTTTTTATACATATATACAAAAATATAGATACAATAGTAGTCTATAAACTTTACTCGCTAATTTACTGGTGTAGAGTGACTAGTAATTTTAAGAGATATAATAAAAACGTATTTTGTCTTCAATTTTAATTTTAATTGCTTCCTAAACAATTGTTGTTTTTTGAAAAAAAAAAGTATAAATAGCGTAGTTCAGTTCCTATAAACGTTAAAGTTTTTTTTAACTCCGTTTCGCGCTTTTCAAAAAATTAAATAATATACTATATATAATATTAAAAATTGTGACAATTATAGTGAGAGTATGATATATTTAAATATAAACGTGATTTCTATTATAATATCATTAATAACTTGTTGTTGTAAAGGATTTTTCATAACGGATGAGGATCTAAATCTCCTTAGTTACAATGACTTAAGCAACTTCAATTATTATCCTTACTATTTAAATGCGGAATTATATGAAAATCCAAAGCCTAAAGGACGTACTTTTGTACAAATAGCACGAGTAATGAATCCCAATCAATACGGACTTAATGGAATTTCATCACGTCCTTATCCATCACAGCCATTTCATCCAGCGGGCGAAAAATAAATTATAATTATAAACTTGAATGGAAATGTTTTTATTAATTAAATACATATACATTAAAAGAAAAGTTAGATAAGAAATTGGCAGAACTTTAAATACTTGCTTTTATAACCTTCTCCTACTGACCTGACAAAGTTTTCATCCGTTAAAATTAGGGACAAAGACAAGTTCGTAGATTTGGTACGCATAAATACATCAATTGTTAATGTGTGCTCAAATTGCGATTTTATCCTCTATAACTTCGTTCATCTTTGCTCATGTCTTAATGCATAAACTAGTTTCAGACTTGACATAGTTGTTATCCGTTAAAATTAGGGACAAAGACAAGTTTATAGACTTGGTACGCATAAATACATCAATTCCTAATGTGTGCTGTAATTGCGGTTTTAACCTCTATGACTTCGTCCCTTTCTGTTCATGTTTAAATGCATAAACTAGTTTCAGACCTGACATAGTTGTCATCCGTTAAAATTAGGGACAAAGACAAGTTCATAAACTTGGTACGCATAAATACATCAATTCCTAATGTGTGCTGTAATTGCGGTTTTATCCTCTATAACTTCGTCCATCTCTGCTCATGTCTTAATACATAAACTAGTTTGATAGTAAGTTTATAGACTTCGCATGTTTGTTCTCATTTACTTGAATAGGGATATAGTGCCTATTCAAATGGATGTTGCTTATTTGCTAGAAGCTTCGTACTTCCACCTTCAGGACGGTCTTTCAGATGTACCGTACAAGTTTTGGCCTATTTGCAGTATTACAGCAGGCTATTATTTCTGCCCAAGTAAGCTTTGGTGCATAACCTTCATTTGTAATTAGAAGTCATAGAATTTGCAATATTTCTTTAAATCTATTCAAATTATTTAATTGATTATCTCATTGTTAACTGAATTTATGCAAAAGTATGCAAAATTAGAGTACAAGTATCTTAACACTTTTCAATAAATTCATTTTATCTGACATGCATTTAATGCACCGCATTATAATATGTGCGTTTATCAACAATAATGTATCTAAAGCACAATGAGCCATGAATACAAATGTAGCTCTTACTGTTAATATTAACAGACTAAGTCTAACTTTTAATGGAGCACACACCTAGCCTTTTTAATATCATTAAGGTATTCGCAGCACTAATAAAAATTTAGTACTTATAAGATTATAAATATTAATATGTTGCATACATATCCATATTAAACCTTTAAAGACGTTCAGTAGCGGATTATGATAAATTTATCATGTACGTGACAGGCATAAATCCATATATAATCGTAACTGATGCTATTTGATATATTTTGATTTGGAATAAAAATCCCAAACATTCATGGCAAACCGCAATGATTTGAAGATGTACTTTTTATTATTATTGAGATATTACGATTTTAAGGATTTCACCGAACTTTTTTTTTAGTACTATTTTTTTTCATTATTATTTTTAAATAATTTAAAACAGATTAATTTAACAATTTAAAGCTTACTTAAATGATTCATATTAATTATTTTCATTGACAATAATTTCGTCATTATTAAGTTATAAGATTTTATTCCTTTAGTTTGTGTACATTCATCAGTAGCAGTGACATGGTTTGTATTGATTTTATTTCTGTAGTTCCCATTGTGATGAGACATATCTGGTGTGGTATATGTAGTGAGGTATATCTGATGTGGTATATCTGGTGTGGTATATCTAGTGTGGTATATCTAGTGCGGTATATCTAGTGCGGTATATCTAGTGTGGTATATCTGGTTTCTATAGTTCCAATCATGATGAGGCATATACAGTATAGACTCCACAGTTCTATGAGATGCAATGGAATAATATTTAAGTATGTCCAAACGCAGCTCCACGAATTCAAACCGGCTGCCAGAGTACCATATGAAGATAGGTATCTTCATGCAGACTCTAAAGTATTTGTTATGTAAGAACAGAAACAACAAATGTTTGAACAAAATTTACTTGCCCAATATATTCGTATTCTAATCGCAACATGATCAGTAAAATTCTCCCTCTATCTTCCATGACTTTGTCGATCTCTTCTCAAGTCTTAATAAACAAGCCAATTTCAACCCGCTTTATATATTTTCATGACCACCCCTTTATTTATTCCTCAACTCAAACAACTCCCCTTCTAACTCTAACCTTATCCAAATCCATGAATTTTAATTTTCTCTTCAAGATATCAAAGTTGATGTCTTAGTATGTAAGTCACTACCTATTAACGTAGCTAATTTTGGAAATTTGAATACACAATTTAAGGATTTATAGAATATAAGATGGAGAGTTATTATCTCATCAAAGGTGATTTGTTATCTTGCTCACATCCCCTGCGGAATGTGGGGACAGAATTCTTCCGCGGTTAGGATTGTTGGTACTACGGGCGGTCAGTTGGCCCACAGCTTCTGCTGTTCTGACCATATGAGCTTGAAATCGTAGTGGTTGTGGTTAATACCCAAACCTACGCGGGAAGAATGTTCAGGTATTTGTTTATCATTCGTTCGGCGTGGTGTTGCGTATTCACACCGGGTGCTACAGCCCACATTGTAGCAGAAATTTTAGACGGGTTTCGCATCTAACCAAAATGGAAGATTTGGTTACATACTTATCTTCATTGGTAAAGGCGGAATAAGATAGGCTATTCCAATGGGGCGTTACTTGACGCTTTGTATTAAGACGTTGTGCTTTTGAGTACCGTAGTATTAGGCCTTTGCATGGCGATGAATACTATATAAAATAACATAGGAAGCTTGTTATCTTGCTCACACTCTATTAAGAATAACTATTATTTTTTGACTTTTTGAATAGCGTTAAAAAGTTAAAAAGATTTTACAAGAAAGGATTGGTAGCGTAGGTATAACAAATACTATGGTACTAAAGGTCTGTGAAAGACGCATTGTTTCTGCTTGCCAAATATCTTCACTTGAATTATTTTTAATTTGATAGATTTTAATTTAAAAGTTTTGTATTAAAATAAATTAAGTAAATTCATTTTGTCCAACAAAAAAAAATAATATATATGTATACATAAATAAATATTAGATATTCAAATAATGTAAGGAAAAGTCAAGTTTTTCGGAAATTTTTTAAATAAATTTTTAATTAATATAAAAAACCTTTACTTTATAAAAATATGAATAGAATGAAAATTTTCGCTGTATTTTATACATACTAAACTAATATGGAAAACAAGTTGTATATATATAAATATAAAAATTTTTTTTCATAATATGTATTAAAAATTAGAGTTAAGGCCATTTAAAGTCAAAATCCCAAACTTCCGGTATAGTAGTTAGAAAATTATCCTGATAGAATAAACTTATTAAAAGACAAACTAAATGTGGCACATCACGCGTTTTTGGTATTTTAGTGTCCTTTATGATATTTACGGCTGTGACTATGGATGGCTTAATATTCTGGTATTTTTTATTAGCCAACAGCATACTTAAATCGTTGAGTGTGCTGGCGTATTGTTGATGAGGAGTATACAATGGTCCACTAATTGAAATATAAAAATGTATAAAATTCAAATTAAGAAATAATAAGAGACAGCTTATTATTTACCTTGTTGTTGGAAATAGTGAAAAAATAATGCAAGCAAGACAACGAGTTAGCACTTTCCGCCTATTTAAATAATCAAAAATATATTAATATTTCAACATAAAATAAATACCATAATATATTTATAAAAATTACTGATTTGTTATTATATCTTTTTTTAATCCGATAGCATTTAGTAAACCTTCTCCCCAGCTTTCCGCTTGCGACGAGAGCAAAGCTAAATAACTACCTAACATTTGCAATGGCTTTTTGGCTACTTCAGTAACAGCTAGCAGTTTACATCCACGTGATATAATAAGTCCCCAAACAATAGCCAAATGTGGTTCAGTATCTGGACTGTTTGTTTATACAGTATAAAACAACTTCATTAATTACATAAATAATTACATAATTATACATTACTTTGTTTTAATATTTTGTATGAGTTGAGCTAAATCCTGTAGAAATGTAATCTGTTCACCAGAGCTTTCCATTTTTTCTAATTTATATAAAATGTATGTGTGTAAGGTTAACAGACATGGTCTGCGTATAATAGGCATCAGTTGTAATTTATCTAACGACATTTGCAGAGTATGCATTAGATTAAGCCAACTAGGCGTATGCCAACTTTTTGACTCGTCTGATGTGCGAAAGTAATGTACTATACTTGACTCAAGTATTGTGTATGTGCTAGCAATAAAAGCGTTCATGTGACCAATAGCAGTTAGAGTATTGCACATAAGTAAATTTCCAGCGGTACAGTATTGTGCTTGCCAGTTAACCATAACGCTTACCATAACACTGTAAA